GGAGAGAGCGTGTCGGTGAACCCCCTTCCCCCCGGGGCCCGGGCCGGCTGCCTGGCTGGACGGAGGTCTCTCTTGGGATCTGCGCCTCGCCGCCGGCGAGCGCCTGGCCCCCTAGCGCCCCAGACTGGCCCCTGGTTGTGGCCGCGGCGCCCCCGGGGAATGGCGTTGCTGTGGGGCGGGGGCCTGCGGGCGCCCCCGGCCTCCGGCTGGTCCCCGCGGCACCTCCCTCCGTGGGGGCAGCCAGGGGACCGGGGCACGACGGGGGCGCCCAGCGACGCGCCCGAGGAGAGGACCGGAGCGCTGCCGGACCGGTGCGCGCGTTTCTATTTGAGGCGTGGACCCCGTTTCTAAGTCAAATTCCTATTCAGAGAGTTTATGCTCCAGCAAGCAGTTAGAAGTCAGACCCGAATGAAGCCCCTTCTCTAAAGCGGATGCACCATCAATACTTCATTGAAAAAGGACCCGTCTTGCCTGGAACCAGGAGGTCACCGTTGGGTTCCCGTCAGGGCACATGCGGATTTCGGGCTTGAGCCCCAGTGGGGTGTGCAGGGGGCAGCGATCAATAATTCCCATCCTTGATGTTTCTCTCACCTCTCTCTCTCTTCCTCTCTGAAATCAATAAATTATATATATAATTTATATACATAAATAAATTATATATTTATATATATGTTATATATAAATTATATAATATACATAAATTACATATAAATGATATATATAATGTATATATAAATATATATAAATATATATAATTATATATATAAATCAATTTTTATATATTTATATAACATAATTTATTGAAATCAATAAGTTATATATATAATTTATACATATAAATTATAAGTGATATATAATTTATATATAAATATACATAATATATATAAATCTATAATTTATATAACATATAAGTTATTGGTTTCAGAGAGGAAGAGAGAGAAAAAAATATATATATATTTTTTAAAGGAAGGCCATTTCCTCAGGTCCAACTCTAAGGAACTTGCCTAATAGAGGTGGGAGTGACAAGAACTAAGAGTTCTTTTGACAGTTTGCTCCTTTCTTTCTCTGATAAGATAGTAACTGTCCCTAGTGAAGCCCCCAGCAGTGCTCCAGCCAGAACCCAGGCCCTAGCAGGCGTGTGAAGCTGCTCACGCTTCTACCCTGCCTGGCTCATTTCACGCTGGGTAACAGAAGGGCCTTCCTGAGGTTGCTGTCGCCATGCCTGCCTCTCACCTTCCGAGACTGGCTGATGTAGGAGTGTTTTGTCAGCCGCTGTCATGGAGGTCAAGGGGGAGAGGGAAAAGGGAAGCAGATGCTGAGGCCCCAGAGGACATAGTGAGAGGGAGCTGGTTCCCGAGGTGCCATGAGTAAGGGGCACTACCCTATCTTCTAAATTACAGTGAGCCCCATGCCCAGCCCAGGACCCAGGAGGTATTCCTGCTCCTTGGGTGGGCATCAGTGTGTCCTACCCCAACAAAGAGTCCTGTTTGTTACTGGCAGCCAGTTCTTAGGGAATCCAAGTTATATTCCCACTGACCTCCTCGAGATGAGGCCCTCCTTCCTTAGACACTGGAGTCTGTGAAGTATGACGGGCAGTTGTGTGTGAGCCATCTGTCCATTATGATCTGGCTTTTGGCTTTTTTTTTTTTTTTAATACGGAAGGAGGAAGATGATATGAAGCTTGGATCAAAGGCAGGGTTTGTGTTTTTAAGTATGTTTTTATTGATTTTAGAGAGGGAGAAAGAGAGAACCATCCATTGGCTGCCTCCTGCACGCCCACTACTGGGGATCAAGCCAGCAACCCCGGGCATGTGCCTTAACTGAGAATTGAACTGGCAACTTCTTGGTGCATGGGATGACGCTCAACCAACTGAGCCACACCAGCCAGGGCTGATCTGCCTTTTTGTTGAGATGTATCCATGGGTCCAGTTCCCCTGTGATGGAAGTATGGGCCTGTCCAGCCCTCTTCCAAAGATGATGTAGAATGAAAGACTGAGTTAGCCAAACTGGCTAAGCAGCTGCAACATGTGCAATATTGGTGACAACTGAAGAAGGTTAGCATTATGTTGCATTTTAAGTTTCTACCATCATAGGAACCAGATCTTATAAGCCCCTAGACCAGGGGTGGGCAAACTTTTTGACTCGAGGGCCACAATGGGTTCTTAAACTGGACCGGAGGGCCGGAACAAAAGCATGGATGGAGTGTTTGTGTGAACTAATATAAATTCAAAGTAAACATCATTACATAAAAGGGTACGGTCTTTTTTTTTTTTTTTAGTTTTATTCATTTCAAATGGGCCGGATCCGGCCCGCGGGCCGTAGTTTGCCCACGGCTGCCCTAGACCCAAGCCTGAGCACGTCAGCTAAGACCACCCTTCAAGATGCCACCCATTAGCCTCACCTCTTTGATAAACTTCCCTAGATCCCATTAACTTCACTGTCAGAAACAGAACCCCACCATTTACAGTGGTGCTGCTACCTTCTGGATTCTGAGAACCCAGCCCTTAGACTCCTGCAGGGTCCCCTTCTTTCCATCCAGTGGAATGGGTAGTAAGAGGTAGGCATTTGGCTAAGGCAGCTCATTTATTAAGAATAAATTTAGCCCTGACCGGTTTGGCTCTGGATAGAGTGTCGGCCTGCGGACTAAAAGGTCCCAGGTTCGATTCCGGTCAAGGGCATGTACCTTGGTTGCGGGCACATCCCCAGTAGGAGGTGTGCAAGAGGCAGCTGATCGATGTTTCTCTCTCATCGATGTTTCTAACTCTCTATCCCTCTCTCTTCCTCTCTGTAAAAAATCAATAAAATATATTTTTAAAAAAAGAATAAATTTACAGCCCAGCTGGCATGGCTCAGTGGTTGAGCATGGACCTATGAACCAGGAGGTCTCGGTTTGATTTCTGATCACAGCACATACCCGAGTTGTGGGCTCGATCTCCAGTGTGGGGCATGCAGGAGGCAGCGATCAATGATTTTTTTTCTCATCATTGATGTTTCTATCTCTCTCCCTCTCTGAAATCAATAAAAATCTATTTAAAAAATAAAAAAATATTTAAAAAGAAATTAACAGATTTTTAAAGTCGGTTTTTCTCAACAGAAGCATAACTGAATGATGAAACCAGTTTAATTTTTTTTTTTTTTTAACAGGGCTGAGGCCTCAAAGACCTCAGGGACTTCTTTCAGTACTCACAGAAACCTACACCCTGGTGATGGCACATAGGGACTGTTTTCTTGCTCTAAGTCTGAATGACTGCCAAAAAGGAAGGCAAAGGTAGAGCAGCTGGATCTCTGGCTCTCCCCATAGCTTCTAATCTCAGACCTTCATAAACTCCTTTCTGAGCCCGAGGACAAAGCTCACTTGAACAAATGATTTTGAGTCATGAATGAAAAATCTTGCTCTTTCCACAATGAGAAAGAATTCAGAGATGGACAGGTAAGCAAGCACTTCTGTTTTGGGGGAAACGTTCATTAATAGTAATAAAAGCATGTATCAAGAGAATGTGGAACTTTATGTGTAGGAAAAACCCTCATAATCGTTCTCTTTGTTCTATTAGAAGAAGCTTCTGTTCACCTCTGGGTCAGTTGCCTTTCCTGAGATCTTATTTTCTTAGTGGGTTATGGGATTTGAGTTTGGATTTGCTTGGTAGGAGAATTTCAGTGAGGAATCTTCCTAGACATTTGTATTTCATTGATTTGTATCTCATTGATTCGGCCTGATTATCCTCAGGACTCTTGGTTCAGTGTGACCTATCTCTGTGCAAGTCTTATCTTTCCCACTACCTTGCCTAGAAATGTATTCTTAGAGGGAGGAAAGGAGAAAGAGATCGAGATTGAGTTCTTGTTCCACTTACTTATGCATTCATTGGTTGATTCTTGTATGTGCTCTGACCAAAAAATGTATTCCTAAGTGGAGCCTGTAGGATTCAGTGGTTGGAACTAGGACAAGGCCTTTTTGCTTTGGTGGTTGCCTTCACTGAATTAAGACAGGTGAACTGTATTCCCAAAGGGAAGTCTTTGGACACTGGAGGGGACTGAACTGGAGGGGGAAAGGATGAAATGAATCCTGAGTACACAGACCCCTGCAGGGAGTTGTTCAGCATGGTGAATCACCAAATATTTTTGATAACATATTTTGTGCCTAGTACTATGTGAATGAGTATGGGAAACATAAAAGAAGTATAAGAGAAGGTCCTTACGCTCAAAGCAGCAGATTCTGATTGGGGAGACAGGCCTTGGCAGAGAAACCTGTGGCTTTTGGACTTGAGGTAAGTGAGATGCCATTGTAGCCCCAGTTGGTAAGGTAGGCCACCTTTAGGAGGTAGAACTGATTTGAAGGGAATAGAGGACACAGAGAAGTTGGAGGTAGGTGTGTATTCTAGAGGAAAATCACATGACCCCAGAAATAGAAGTGAGAGTAATTGCAATGGTGTGTTCATTGGATTGACGTGGGAAATACTAGTACTTAGGCATCAAGAGGCCAGTTATGGAGGAGTTGGCTCAGTTGTGGTGCATTAGGGCGTCCATTCTCATCTCCCAGGGATAAAAAAAATCAAAGCTGATTTTAAGAAGTATTAGCAAAAATATGTAGGAGGGATTAGAGTAATGGGATAATCTAGGTTTATAGGGCTTTGACTTCAGCAGTGATTCCTTTATTAATCATTTTCCTTTGATTATTATTTTTTATTTATTCTACAGAAAATAATCCATTCACATAATTCAGAATTCAAAACATACAGAGTATATGCTATGAAAAAATTGCCTGCTAGTCCTAGCTGATTTGGCTCAGTGGATAGAGTGTCAGCCTGTGGACTGAAGGGTCCCGGGTTCAATTCCAGTCAAGGGCACGTACCGGTTGTGGCTTGATCCCTGGCCCTGGTCAGGGCGCATATGCGGGAGGCAACCAATTGATGTGTCTCTCTCACATTGATGTTTCTCTCTGTCTCTCCTCCTCCTTTCCACTCTCAAAAAATCAATGGAAAAATATCTTTGGGTAAGGATTAACAACAACAACAAAAAATTGCCACCCTAGCTGGTTTGGCTCAGTGGATAGAATGTCAGCCTGTGAACTAGAGGGTTCTGGGTTTGATTCCGGTCAAGGGCACATGCCCAGGTTATGGGCTCTATTCCCAATAGGGGGTGTGCCGGAGGCAGCCGATCAATGATTCTCTCTCATCATTGATGTTTCTATCACTTTCTCCCTCTCCCTTCCTCTCTGAAATCAATAAAAAAATATATATTTTAAAAATTGCCTTCTACCCTTGTCCCCTGGCCACCAGTTTTTCTGTTGGAGGCAAACTTTCTTTTTATTTTTTTTAATTTTTATTTTTTTATTAAATTTTTATTGTTCAGATTACATTTGTTCCTCTCCCCCCCCCCCATAACTCCCCTCCTTCCAGTTCCGCCCCACCCTCCACCCTCACTCCCCACCCACTGTCCTCATCCATAGGTGCACGATTTTTGTCCAGTCTCTTCCCGAATCTCCCATTCCCCTTTCCCCCCCAAGAATAGTCAGTCCATTCCCTTTCTATGTCCCTGATTCATTATAATCACCAGTTCATTCTGTACATCAGATTATTTATTCACTTGATTCTTAGATTCACTTGTTGATAGATGTATGTTTGTTGTTCACAATTTGTATCTTTACCTTTTTCTTCTTCCTCTTCTTAAAGGATACCTTTCAGTATTTCGTATAATACTGGTTTAGTGGTGATGAACTCCTTTAGCTTTTCCTTATCTGTGAAGCTCTTTATCTGACCTTCAATTCTGAATGATAGCTTTGCTGGATAAAGTACTCTTGGTTGTAGGTTCTTGGTATTCAGCACTTTGAGTATTTCTTGCCATTCCCTTCTGGCCTGCAAAGTTTCTGTTGAGAAATCAGCTGACAGTCGTATGGGTATTCTCTTGTAGGTAATTGAGTCTCTTTCTCTTGCTGCTTTTAAGATTCTCTCTTTGTCTTTTGCTCTTGGCATTTTAATTATGATGTGTCTTGGTGTGGTCCTCTTTGGATTCCTTTTGTTTGGGGTTCTCTGCCCTTCTTGGACCTGTAAGTCCATTTCTTTCACCAGGTGGGGGAAGTTTTCTGCCATTATTTCTTCAAATAGGTTTTCAATATCTTGCTGTCTCTCATCTTCTGGCACTCCTATAATTCTGATATTAGTCCGCTTGAAGCTGTCCCAGAGGCTCCTTACACTATCTTCACACTTTCGGATTCTTTTTTCATTTTGCTTTTCCAGTTGGGTGTTTTTTGCTTCTTCGAATTTCAAATCTTTGGTTTGATTCTTGTGCTCCTCTGGTCTGCTATTGGGTATAATATTCTTTATTTCCGTCCATGTATGCTTACTTTCTAATTTCTTTATCGTAGCATCGGAGGTCTCATTAGTTTCG